TATTTCCATAACACCGGTGGTTTAACAAGGAAAAAGCCCCAGTAAATAGGGAAAATACACAATTTTACGATGCGTGGCTGTTACATTTCCTGTCCTGCAATAAAAACTTACTTAATCTGTCGCCATATTAATATTCGGCGCCATCTTCACGTTTTGAATACCGTTTACTGTAAATAAATTGTTTTTGTAATGAACTGAATAAGTTAATACTTGCACTGCATAAATAAGAGCTTTAACTCACCTTTGAACATATGTATGTGTTTTTTTGTTACATTCTTAACGCTAAACTGCCTGTGTGGACGACCGCATGCACGAATCCAGGTTAGACACTTCTCCAGCTGTATATTTGGCTCCGGACAGATGATTGTTTGTCCGGTAAGATTGCGGCTGTTTACACATGCGTATCACGTGACATTAATTATACGGTTCTATTGGTTAAAACAATGCTGTCAATCACTCATCTCGGAACGGTGAATTACTGACTTTTCATGATTTACTGTAGTGAGTTCTTTGACTGTGTAACATATCACTGTCCGGAGGCTATCATTTTCTTTAATATCTTATCTTAAAGTTTATACTGACATCAAACTGTTGATATGGTTTTCTGGGGGCGTTCCTTTCTTTTGAATGGCATCTTATGTCAGATTTGATATTATTACCAAAATATCTCACAACAGCAGACTGGATGTTATTATCACTCAGTGACATACTTTTTAATGACTCAAGCCAAAAAAAAAAAATTAATTAGCACTCAAAAATAGCAATGATAAAAAATATTCCATATTAAGTAGCAACCCTGTATAGTATACAGTGTGTCACTGTCATAGTGAGAGTTGTTATGGAAAATAATACGTGAAAAAACGTCATCGGTGCTGCAGATCGACCATAACATGGTTTTAGAATGGAAAAATATGCCGTTTGCCTTTCAAGTTACATAGCTTTGGGTTTGCAGACTAAAAGGTGAGTCTTTTTTGCATTCACTAAGTTTCATATAAGCGCCGAAATGTAAAGAAATGATTTTGGAGTAACCTCCCTTCGCATAGTTCAGCACTTGTTGACGTTCAGTACCAGTGAAATGTTACATTTTGTTGCAAAGTTACAGTTGTACTTTGTGTAGGCCTGCTTGCGTACCTTTATCCGTTCTATTTCCTTTATTTGGAGTTGGATTCTAGACCTTTTCCAAAATAGGGTGTGTGCGTGTCTATACACACCTGTTAACTAGCACATTGCGCAATCAGCATTACAGGTGTACATTACAGGTCTCTCTTGGGCAAGTTTTACATTATAAGCTTAAATATTGTGATTTTTAAACAATTTTTCTCAATTTATCTGAAATTGTTGGTAGTAAAGAAAAGTCTTCAAATTAAACAAGTTTTTAAAAAGTAGTTTGTCAAGGCACAGCCACACTTTATGACCAATGCACACTTTATGACCTATGCATTGTGCTTTTTCATTTTTAGTGAAATGTTGACAGCATCCTATCCCTGCCTAAGCTATATATATATATATATATATATATATATATATATATATATATATATATATATATAAGCCAATACTTCATTATTTTTTATAACTAGCCTATTATTAGTAGGACCAAGGAACTATTAATACTATATACTATGGTAAGAAATTACTTTGATAAACAACTGGTGTGAGACTGTTTTTTTAATATATGGATTTTTTTTAATCTATGGAAATTTCAGTTTTTATCTGCTTTGTATAAATTTCTTGTTTCTACATACATGTATGATTTTATCATTATATTATATTTATTTTTAACAGATTCCCGTATTTCATATCAGCTGACAATAAGGGAAGAGGTATTCTAGTCAAGACCAGGGAAAATTTATTTCCATACGATTTTGTGGGATGGTGCTGTTGATGCAGGTGTGACTGAACAAGAGATGGTGTTTTGTAGAGTCTAAGATATTGTTTACCCTAGAAACCTTTCTCATAGCAGACAAGTTCTGGAACATTATTTTCTCTAAGTATTAACCCTCAATCACCTTTCAGGGGCCTCGCAGGCCCGGACCCATGTATCTTTTGCTCTCTCTTCGTTCGCATGAGGTTTTGAGCCTGTTCCTTTCATGTAATCCTCAAGCAACTTATACCCCATCAATGGATAAATAATTAGTTTTGAAATAATTTACAACATATGTAGAAATTAACTTTTCCAAAAGTTAGTCCCATTTCCTGGAAACCGGGCCTCTTAGGCCCGGTCGCTTGATAATTTTACTTCCACATGGGATAAATAAGTCCATGTTACCTCAAATAGCTTTGCTATAAAATGTTTTACACAAGCAATATCATGTGTGCTATGACTATCAGTATGGTCAATGAAATCTGCCTGTGAAAGATTCAAGACCTGGAGAAATTATTATTTATGAGTAATCGGTCACCTTGGTCACCTGATATGCAGATATCAGTTTAAATCTATCATTATTACATACCTGATAGACTGCGCTACCTTTGCGAAACTTTCCATTTTGAGAAAAAAAA